CCCAGTGGTCCGCACCTCCTCCGCCTCCGCCTCCGCCTCTCGCCGCGCCGCCGCCGCCCGGCGCCTCGGTTAAGGGCACGCCGGCGCGCAAGCTGCTTTTCATGTGCACCTTGTCCCTGTCCGTCACCTACCTGTGCTACAGCCTCCTGGGCGGCTCGGGCTCTCTGCAATTCCCCCTGGCGCTGCAGGAGCCGCCGGCCGCCGCCGCCGAGCCCCCGCCAAGCCCGCCGCCACCCTCGCTGCTGCCTCCCCCCGTGCGCCTCGGCGCCCCCTCGCAGCCGCCAGCGCCGCCGCCGCCGGACAGCGCGAGCCGCGGGGAGCCGCCCGAGCCCCCCGAGCAGCCTTCCGCCCCCGGGGCCGACGGCTGGGGGCTGGCGAGCGGCGGCGGGGGCGCCCGGGACGCCTGGCTCCGGACCCCGCTGGCCTCTGGCGAGATGGTCACGGCGCAGAGCGCGCTGCTGGAGAGGGAAGCGCAGGAGTCCAGCACCACAGACGAGGAGCTCGCAGGCCGGAGGGCGGCCAACGGGAGCAGCGTGAGGGGCGGCGCCGTCAGCACCCCCGACTACGGAGAGAAGAAGCTGCCACAGGCGCTTATCATCGGGGTCAAGAAAGGAGGGACCCGCGCGCTGCTGGAGGCGATCCGAGTGCACCCGGACGTGCGGGCGGTGGGCGTAGAGCCGCACTTCTTCGACAGGAACTATGAAAAGGGACTGGAATGGTACAGGTAGGACCCCGAGCTCGGCGGACGGGAGAGGCGCGTAGGGGAGACCAGCACGGGAAGCCGCCGCTCCCCTGGCCCTTGGGGATCCGGGCAGCGTCCCGAGAGGTCTTAACCCCGCGCGGGCTCTGCGCACCCTGGCGGGGCTGCTCTGGGGGAGCGGCGGAGAGGGCTGGAGGCTAGCGAGGGATCACTTAATTCCAGGGCGAGGAGAGAGGGGTTCCCCTGATCTGCCTGCCTCAGGCTCCTCATCCAGGGAGCTGCTTTCCGAATCTGCCTAGTTCCAAGCCTGGGAATCCCCAGCCCTCGTGCCCCCGGGGTGTTTCCTAAGCCAGGCTCTTGCGGGGCGGTGCGCTTCTGTGCTGGGGACGCTGAGGAACGGACAGGACAGCTAGATTGCCCAGAGGGCTTTGGGATCCCCTGGAATCTCTCAAAATCGCCCTCAGACGCATTTGCGTGGCTGGAATCCAGTGTTTTCAGTTCAGAGCAAAATGAACAGGGAACAGTTAAAATGATGATGCTGGCGAGTTCGGGCTTTCTAGTAAAAACTCAGGATGTCCCCCATCTCCAGAACTTTCTATCCCTCTTGGGCTGCATGAACACTGGGTTGATTTTGCATCAGGAGTATCCGTGCCTACGTGACAGTTGGTGCCCTAAGAGTTTTCATGCCCTGCACCTGTGCCCTTTCTAACCTGTGCCTCCTTTGCAACAGATTGGAGCTTGTTATCTAGTGAGTTGTTTGTTCATCTCCCTCCTTTTCCACCGTCTGCCAGCGTTGAGGGAAAGGGAGAAGAGAGGAGTAGTAAGTTAAGTGTGGGTAAAATAAATTAATAATCCAGCGTCGTACCCCCGCCCCCTCCTTTCCTCTTGTTTTTTAATTCCTCTGGAAAACAGATCTGGATGGCTGGCCCCATCTCGGTTGTATCTCAGTAATTAATTGCAATTGTCAACCAGAAACACAGGCTTTGTCAGTTAAAGTGATGTTATCATCTTAACAGAGCCAATAGGTAAAATAAGGATTGTTTCTTGACAAGTCGCCTTCTTGTTGAAGAGATGTGCTTTCTAAGTTTAAATTACAGCCTAGGAAAGTTTTAGAAATAACTTAACTTTGGAAATATATGATAAATGTGTGTATTGTGATTGATTTCTTTCCGTTTTAAAAATATGCCTTATGCTTTCAAAGCTTGAGAGAAGTACACTTAGGGATGAACATTCCAGCACATTAAACCGGAACAGCAAATGCCACTGTTCATGTCATGTCTGTTTCAACAGAGAGAACTAATTGCAATATTTTAGGAGGCTTCAAACAGCCCCTTCCTATCAAAATAAAAAACAGCAAATGCCTAATTTAACTGGGAAATCAGTATTTATAACATCACAAGCCATGGCTTCCAGTTTGCAATTATAATTAAAAAGGTGTTAGGATGATTAGTGCAACAACAGCAAAACAAACAAAAAAAACCAGGTATGATGTCTGGGAAGGTTTCAGTTGTTTAACTGATAGTAAGAATGTTCTGGTTTCTGCTGTGAGACAGCCGTGGCCCTAAGAGGGTAACTACGGCTTTTTCCAGTTCTAATTTTAAAGCCCTGTATCTTGTGGGAAGTGTCAAATGCCCTTTGGGGGAGAGGGAGGCATAAAGATCAAATCTCTCCAACACGTGTTTGGGTTGCTTTACCGCAGTTGGAAATGGAGAAGTGGGTGTTTTATTTGAATGAGTTAAAATAAAGTTGACGAAGGGTGTGTGGCGGACTGCATGTCAGGAAGTCCCATCGTAGGGTCTGGAGCATTTTCTGAATGAAAAGATAAAAGATGCCAGGTTTCCTTACGTTCTTTTATACTGCGGTTGGGAAAAGGAGGTATGTAAGCTGCCTCGCTGTCAGGACATGGCTGTTGAGGATCTGTGGTACCCTCAGCCATCACTTGTGGTATTTGGGGCTCAGTGCCCCATAGGACTAAGAGATGTAGATGGAACTGGGTTCCCTTGATCCTCATTTAAGAGGACCATGTGATATCTCTGTATTCCTCATTTCCTGCCCCAGCATCACACCCATGGTAGATCCTTATTGTGCTTAGTGGCGCTGATTGGAGTTGCTGGAGGAGAATCTAACGCAGAGGAATCATTTTCCATCCAAACCTGGCTGTTGAGTTGACTCCCAGAAACCCTTTGGATCCTAGGACAGCTCTCTAGCCTTAACAGGGACAGCGGTCTTTTGGGGGCATTTTGGGGATTTCCGTTGGCCGCATCTCTTCAGGCTCTTCTCTCCCTCTCCCTACCTCCTGGTTCCCTGGTGCCTGTCTTTTAAATGGTGGCATCTGTACTTAAGTGGTTACATTTCCTCCCCATATGCCTTGTACCTTCTCTGGAATCTTACTCTACTATTTGCCTGATAGAGATTCATAGGTTAATTGAAGATTTTGATCCCCTCTTCCCATTATTTGTTTTGTTTTTCTTTTTCATTTCAGTGCGCTTCCCAGTAGCCTGCTGATTCTGCAGGTGATCATGGTTGTTGTGATTTCCATGAGAGGGAGAGAAGGAAGAAATTGGGGCTGCTCTCGGCAGAGCTGGCAAGGGTTTCCTCATATTCAACTAAGCAGTCCCAGTTTTATTTCCTTGGTGTCACTCCGGTCATGTCTAAATCCGGGTTTTGCTTTCGCCTATGCTGTTGATCTAATGTGATTTAAAAACACATTTGCGATTAGAACATATGCATCAGATTTGCAGGACAAGAGAGACTGATGGCTTAGGGTGTGTTAAAGCTGTGGAACAGCAAGCCTCCCTTGGTGGGTTGACACAGGCCAGTGATTAATTAAGTGGGGGTAGATTAAACTCTCCATCCCTCCCCCCCTCAAAAAATTAAAAGGGCAAAGCCACAATACGCCTTTCAATATGAGCTAATGCGCACTGGGCAGAGACCTTAAACTCCTCTATGGGGTGGGACCTTGTGGCAGGCCAAGTGGCTGCCACGGCAGAACTCATTAAAGTGATGGAAATGACTTGAGCTGTGGGCTCCCTCGTGGATTACAGACTGTACAGTGACTGTGACCACTTTGCTTTGGAAACCACTCAGCTGTAGGGTGACGGGAGGTGACCCTCCATGGTTTCAAGTTGTCTTCACTGCCAGCAGTTACTACACACATCCTGCTGGCTGGAGGGAAATAGCTGGCGTTCAGTAGTCACGCCTGTGCTACGCAGAGGAGAGTGGTCCACAGCATCATTCGGACGTGGTGTCCAGAGAGAGAAAGAAGGAGGGCAGCATAAGGCACTGGCGTGTATTGGACGCCTATTGTCGTGGTGGTTTGCGTTTTATAGACGTATTATCGCATCTGGGTGGCATGATGAGGCTGTGAGCAAAAGAACAGCATTTCTGCTTTACAGTTGGCTCCCAGAGGGTAAAACAACTTGCTCGAGGTTGCTCAGCTGGCCAGTGGTTGAGCTGACATTTGAAGCCACATCTGTCCAAAGTGCTGGTATATAGAGTGCGAGCAAGGTCTTTTCCTTCCTTTCATTCAGCAAACATTTAATGATACTTAATATGTGCACATGTACTGTTGTAGGTGCTGGGGCTAAAGGGGTGAACAAGACAGGTGAAGCACCCTGTTCTCTTGGAACTGACGTATTAGTGGGGGTGGGAGTGGGAGAAGGGGAGACAGCAAACAAGCAAGTCTTTCTGCTTACTCTTGTAATGTGGCTACTAGAAAATTAAAATTTACACTTGTGACTCTTGTTATGTTTATTTCCACTGGGCAGCACTCCTGTAGAGCTCTGCTTTTTAAACTTTAAATGCTCACAAAACATGGGGAGCGGGGGTGGGGAGTGGTGGTGTTAACATGCAGATTCTGAGTCCGTAGGTCGGGGAAGGGGCCTGAGATTCTGCATTTCTGATTTCCAAGGTGATGCCGATGCTGCTGATTCCTGGACCTCCCTTTGAGTAGCAGCGGCCTAGAAAGTAATTGGTGTGTGTGTGCATGTGTTATTTTAAATGATGAGGGAAAACCTCTCTGTGGAGGTGGTATAAGTGTCATGAAAGAGTAAGATCCTCCCATGTGAAGACCTGGGTGGAGAGGTTTGTAAGCAGAGGGAACAGCAAGTGCAAAGGCTCTGAGGTAGAAACAAGCCTCATGGCTTTTCAAAGTGTTCTTTCATTATTCCAAAAGCACAGTGTTTGTAGCTGCGCAGAGCTGGGTTCAAAACCTGGCTTTGCAACTTACTTGTCCGATGATCTGGCTTGGATGACTGACATAACATCACTTGCCTTCCGTTTATCTGAGAGTAATTCCTTCCTCGCAAGGTTGTTAGGAAGAATAAGTGAAATACTAAAAGTGAATATATTTTCGAAACAAAAAATGAGTATCCTAGAGCAGAGATCCAAATGATCCCAACTACTGAGTTTTGGTCTCACATGCTTTACCTTCTGTCCCAGCTGTCCTAATATTGACTGGAGGCTCTTATTGGGGATGTTTTTGGGAAAAGGCTAATAATGATTGGCTTTGAAATCTACATCTGCTTAACCTTTTAAACCAAGGGTCACCAACTCAGATGCCTTCAGGGCTCATGTGGATAATATACACGAGCAAAATAGACTAGGTAGGGAGAAACTGGGGCACAGATGTTCTTTCCAAAGGAGCAGCTACTGCTATATTCCAGCTACCCTTTTCCATGTGCAAATGTGGCATCAGGGGAACGAGGTCTTCCACTTGGTAAAAGAAACCTGGAAATCCAGGTTTTGGTATGAAGTGGCCTGGTTTTTAATGTTGGCAACAGACTGAGATTTCTTAAAAGCGTGGTGTGGGCCAGCACTGCAGGACAAGCAAAACACATCTGTGGGCTGGATACAGCCAGCTGGCTACTGGTTAGGGACCTTTGGTTTAAACTCATTTCACAAAGTACCTGGCATACCCACACCCTCTGCAGTTGCCAGAATTGTGGCTTACTTGTGCTACTTTAGTTTAGGTATTTTCTCCCTTAACTGATTTTGCAACAGCATGGGGGGAACTACCTCTGAGA